AGTTCTTGCAAAGGCTTAGGTCTCCCTTCTTTGGGAGTTTGACAAGGTAGCCCTTCTTCCAATCACTAGCCAGGTACCTTTCCCTTCTTCCTTACAAACCTTCGGCAATAGTGGTGTGAGCATGTCCTCTGTTGTCTCTGCGTCTGCTCTCAGTGCTTCTGGCGGGATTCCATCTGGTCCAGCTGATTTCCTGCATTTGAGAAGCTTTATGGCGCTCAGGACTTCAACTTTTGTTGGAGGATTTGTGCTCACTGGTAGTTATGAGGCTGGGCTTCAGGTGGTATTTCTGGACGAAGTGCAGGTGGTGGTGGTGGTCGATTCAAGAGCTTTTTCAAGTGGTCGGCCCATCGTTTCTTTCGTTTCTCTTCTTTAGTAATTATATTTCCTTCATCATCTTTTATTCGTTTCATGTGAGTTGATCTCTTCCATACCAGATAGTAACCTGGTTGTTTGATACAATGTTGTCAGGTCTCTTTCTCGCCTACCTGCAGCCTGTTCTGCTTCACTTGCCAGTGTGTCGTGGAAGTGTCTTATGTCTTTGCATGCACTCTTCTTCACTTCTTTGTACAATGCTGTGTTTTGTACATTGTACTCAGTTCCTCTTGTCGTTGAGCATCCTTGCACTGGTTTATCTTTTGCTTCACCATCCTCCTCTCCTCTATCAGCTTCCAGGTATCCGTCGGGATCCATTCCATTCCTTATCTTCTTTCTTCTTCTTCCTAATACGTCTGTGCAGGTTTCTTTCCACATAGCTTTCAAAGACTTCCAGTGTTCTTCCACTCAGGTTTCTTCAGGGATGCTGTTTGATATCTCCCAGGCGAGGTTAAGCCAATGGAATAGGAGTTGTCAATGTAGCTAACTGGGTAAACTAAGCTTTGGATTATTTCAGTGCCAGTGTGGTTCTCACCTAAAAGTTGTCTGTGTCCGTGTTCTCTTGCCGACCTGTTAGAATGCATAACGGCAGCCAGACTTCCAAAAAACGAGTGCGTTTAAGGGCCACTGATGAAGTAACCAGTTAGGCTCCTCTATTTTATGAAAAACTACCTTTCTAACCGGAATAAAGAAACCTGATTGGTTATTTCAGAGGTTTCGAGGGTGGCCTTTAGAGTCACACCAAAAGACTGCTAACGTCAGTCTTAAACATCTCAAAACGTCAACATCTGGGTGACAATGAGACGAAGATAATTTTGAAGAATGCATATTTTGATACAGACTCAATAACATCTAACTTCAGACAAGAAATTTCCTATTCAGAGACACGCACAACTAGTACCTACATGAAATTGAATGCACTCAGGACTAATAATTGAATAGCAGTTTCGTTCTGCAGGATTTTGTTCAATTCGTGCAATTAATGCAGGTATAGATATTTTTGATTACAACTCCATTGAAAATTTATGACTAGGAGAAACCCTTGGCGATTGAAATGAACTTAAAATTGAGTCACTCAACAAAGCGTTAGGATGGTAAGTCATAGGCCACTGGGTCGAGTCCTTACGTCACCCAGATTTTCATCTCACCTACCATCTTCACCCACTAGCAATCATATCAGTCTACCAAACCCAGACCATCGCAGATAGTACCAACAAATATACAAGACATTAATCAGTAGGCGTCAGCAATCATAAAAATGAGGTGTAACAGTTTGTTTCAGTGCGCAATATTTGAAGGGTTTGAAGTAAATTGGTATTTAGCAAGTGACTATGGCTAACTTTGCACAGATTTGCAGTGCCTGTTCTTATTTTTGATTCCATAATACGGAATAGACCTAGTGTAAGAATTGAATTCAACCTTCATATACGTAAAGCTAATTTATGTTATATTTAGAATGTACGAGAATTTGATATCATTGGTGGATATTGGCTAACAGCGGAATCCAAGACGCAGATTTCGCCTTGTTTGAGACTCGTCAGCTAGATGCACCCACCTTACAGTAGATGATTTTATTTCCAGTAGGACTAGAACCACAGGTCAATCGCTTCAGCCGCCAGATCATTATCCACTAGTCCAGTGATTCATGATAGGCGCTCCTTGCACGACGGTGCATTATAGTCTCTGATGACATAGCTTGTGCATCTCCATCATCAATTGAACCGAAATGATCGTCCACTCAATATCGAGGCATTCTCAAAGGAGTCCATGTGCCACCAGTAACTGATCAGTTTGGTTCAGCCGATGACAGAGATGCACCAGCTATACAATCAAAGACTGTACAAGAAAATGTTCAGAAAAATGTAGAATGTATTTCACTGTGTTCTTCTAAAAGAGGAATGAACAAAGCTGTGTCTTACGCTGATTCCTCTGCTAGTCACCAAGATCAATTTAACATCATCTATATCCAGCAGTATTGAGGCATCCGCATAGGAGCTTATCTGCCAACAGAGGTCGAGAAATTTGGCCCTGTATAGCAACGGGAAATTACAAGTATCATTACAAAAGGTATGTGAAATAGATTAGTTCTATAAATACTCTGTTTCACAGGGGGAAAAGATTGAAGTGTCAATATGAGCACTGTTTTATAAATACTGTGTACTATTTCAAACAGACTAATCTAACATGGAAACATTTTACTGATCACGCAGGAAATCTGACATTAATTAAGTGTATTAATTAACGTGATTTGATTTTAAAGTTAAGTACGACTGAAACGTTTTTTCGAATACTTGTTAGTATAAGAGCGGTTTTTCACAGGAAACATTCTGAAGCGAAAAGAACAAAAGTTATTATTTTAAGGTTATGTCTTACCTAGAAAATACCACAAGTCACATAACAAATGATTCAGATTTAACCGTTTCAGTGATGTCAACCTCAAGCGGATTGAAGTTCTATATTTGATAAATTATGTAGGCCGGATGGCCCTAGAACCCTCACCAAAGACATAATCATTAACCTCGTCATCGAATCACGCTACTTGAAGGTACACCTCTGAAAAGTACTTTGTAATTAACCGATTCTTTGAATAGCTCGATGCTGTTGTCGTCTTGGTGACGGTATCGGAGTAGCTTTTTGACTCTGCAGTTGACAGTTTGGGTAGTCCACATCCATTCCATCTTCTTTTACAGATTCCTACCACTTCTGTGTCATATCTCCTTATCTCGTTTGCAATCTGGGCAGCCTTAGTAGGTTCAAACATTGTGCGGACATTCCATGTCCTCGTGTTTACGTTTGCTTTCATCGGGAGAAATAAAGACACATCGGCAGACTGGCTTCCGAAGGCTTTCACCAAGCAGCGTCATTTCGTCTCTCCGATTCCAGAGAGGAATAAGTTTTATTTATTTTTTAATAATTTTATTGTTGAGAAATTTTTTAGTGATTGGACTGGTTTTCCGGGGTAGAGTTGCTAGCCCTATGTCCAACCTTCCTTGTTTATCTTGGCTTAGGAGCGGCTAGTAGTAACTAGTGAACTAATTACCTAGACGAGTAATTCATATTCTTAGACAGTTTAACCACTGACTTTGTAATTGTCCTACAAGCGAAAACTAACAAGTTGACAGAAGAGGCAGCGAAGACGGGACTTCGAGTGAACATAGAGAAGACGACAGATGTGATGAAGATACCCAACCAACAAAAACAACAAACTCCAATCACCATCAACGAGAGAAACTTAAAGGAAGTTACCTCCTTCACCTATCTAGGAAGCACTGCTTCAACTGCAGGCAGCGGCACAGACGAGGATGTCAAAGCCAACCAGGATCGGAAAGACAGCAAGACAGGTGTTCATTAGCCTGAAACCAGTGTGGAGATCTTCTGCACTCCACTCAGCATAAAGCGTGAACAACATCCGGATTTTCAACACCAGCGTCAAGTCAGTGCTCCTGTATGGTTGAGAGACTTGGCGCGTTACGAAAGGCATTTCCAATAAACTACAGACATTCATCAACAACCGTCTAGGCTGACTCGTTACTGAAGCTCATATGGTCAGAAAGAATAAGCAACAAGGAGCTGTGGGAACGAACCAACGAAGCGAGAAGCTATTGCTGAATAAATATGCATTGGAAGGAAGTGTAGATGGAATGGGCATACTCTGAGAAGGCCGATTGGTGACGTCATACGCGAGACCAGGCACTTGAGTGGAACCTGATGTGAAGCGACGAGTTGTGCGTCGGAGACGAGGGTGATATGGAGGAGATGGTGCGAGGAGGAAATGAGAGGTTGTGTTCAGTCATGGAGCCAGGTTCAAAAGATTGTGGAGAAGAGAGTGGAATGGTGACGTGCTACTGAAGCTCTATGTTCCATCAGGAACCTAAGGGACTAATAATCCTAATAATTGTAATTGTTCTCACGTAAAATTGATTAGAAGTCTTCCATTTATTGAATTAACAGATATTTCAAAATGTTTTGAGGTGCAGCAAATAAATATGGCAGCTTACAAATGATCTCTTTGACCTTGTTCAGTAGAATAACACTGTATATAAGAGGTTTATCAGTAGAAAGGGTCAGTTTCTTGAAACAACCATTTTATTTGTGTTTGACTGAAAATTAACTTCAGGTAGTATTCATCACCGGCTGACATCAGTAGGAGAAACACTGATAGCCTTGGAACGCTGGAAATCTGTTCCGTCCTGAGCAGTGCACACTCGCGACCATGTCGGGAATCAAATTCAGGGACTTCAGGTTTCACGGAAAATGCGTACTGCTTTGAGGTATTCAGTGGTTTTCTAATTAATATCAGCTCGTGGTGAATATTACCTCAAATTTAAAATCACTTTTCACTTGAAAATTAACTTTTGAACTGTTGCCGGACAAACGACTAATAAGTGGTTTCAATAATAATTTTTGATAATCTGTGCTTTAGTTTGTGATGTAGTGAATGGCTTCGCGGAGGGGGAGTAGTTTACGTAATGTATTTTACTAAACTGCGAATTATAATGAAAGGTTTTAAAATCCCAGTTCTAGCTTCTTACCAGTCAAATCTCCCTTTGGCAAGGCCACCTGATCTTTTGACATGCATCTCCGTTTTTTTGTAAATTATCTGATCTTATCTTATCTTATAATCTCAGATAAGAATCCTTGGCTCCAAAACTGATTTAAGTACATCGTACTCACAAGGTGTCAAACGCCTTGAAACACCACCACCAAGTTATTCTGATTTGGAAATATTAAATTCATCCTCTCGAGATAATTTACTGACGAAGAATACTGACAAATCAAACTTTACACTGTTATCAACAATCGATGATCAAGTGCACATTTATAATCGCTCAATTCATCCAACGGAGACTGATAAAAACCAGTTAATCAATAAACATTCAAATGATAACTATAATATTGATAAATGTAATTATATGACCACAAATATGATTCCTTCTATTTCCAGTGCAGATTATACAAATTATTCAAATAGTTATACACTGAACCTAGTAAACCTATTGATGAAATTGATTCATTTAGAGAAGTTGTCCTTCAGAGACATAATGCAAGTGAACGTTTTGGTATGCGGTTGGAAAGAACGAAAGGTGTAAGACAAGTAAGTTTTCTTGCTACTGATAACTGATGGTATATCTTATAATAATGTCTTACAATGAAGGTCTTGATTGCACAATCTATTCTTCAAAACAGGTAAGGACAAAGGTTATGGTATAAGTGGTTAGCCTTTCAACTGCCTCAAAGCGTATTTCTGTACGGATTTGAAGAAGAAAAGATATACAGCTACTGATTAACCACAGCCGTTTAATTGGCGATTCTAGTGAAAATCTAACAGTTAGAGCAACTGTAAAATACTGTCAATGAAAACTTTAAAAATTTTAAAAAGCAGAATCAGCAGTACCTCAGTTCCGTTGCTTATTGAATAGAAGTGTCCCAACACTGGCTGTTACTGTGATCCTGCTAGGATGACTTCAAAGGCCATCCTGACAACTGCTGTAATAACCAATCAGGTTTCTGTACTCCTCACAGAAAGGTAGTTTTGCACTGAATAAAAAAGCCACATTGGTATCTCAGTAGTTGCTAGTGTGGCATTTAAAGTCGTTCTCCTGCTACAAATCACTTAAACCTGCATTGATATTGTTATTGGTTAGATGTTACATTTTTTTATTCGATGTTGTAGCATGTGAATCTTCGTCATTGGTTGGATCTCAATGATCAGTCACTATTCGCACATGGGCTCCTATGCGGATGCCACGATATTGTCGATGTTTTTCAAATTTGATAATATCGATGGATGGTGACCGGGAGTGAAATCCAGGACAAGTGTTTTGTAAATGTTCAGTTATCAGCTTACTTCTTTTATGCTTAAACTTTCAACAGGAAAATGACCTTGGAAAGTTATGAAGTGATAAATAGAGTACACAGTACTAATGAACTTACAAGTGTCAGTAGGAAAATCAAACACATTTGCATTCATGCCCTGGGATCGAGATAATCCGTAAACTCTGTTAGTAAGGCCATTTTAGACTGAGAAATCACTAGCTCACGGGAATAATGAGAGCGAACGAAATATATCGTGTCAATTTTCTCCCCAGGAGAAATATACGAATCTATTCAAGGCTAATCTAAAATCCTTTTTACTTTCATGCCAGTGTCAGTACCACGAAAAGTTAAAACATTAAAATTCGCGAATCATGCTACAGGCTTTTATGTTGGCTGCAAATCAGTGCATGTTGGTATCTCAAATTAATCAGTTATTTCCTACTTTCAAGCCTCATCACCTTATCGATTCTGAGGGTTACTGAGGTGTAGAGGGCTGGGGTTTTAGCAGAAATAGTTATAAAGTATGAACATCCTGATAATGCGATATGAATTTGAGCCTCATGATACACTGACAACTTGTATTGTACTACTGGTTGCTGCTTCCCCGTCCTCCTAATTACTGTAATACTACGAACAATGCAGGTATTATTACTGCTAAGGACTTAAAAATGAACCATCTCAGCAGTCTTGACAACCAATCTCACAGCTTAGATCAATGATGGATAATGACTAGCAGAGGATTCCAGGATATGAGTTTCCTTTTATTTGGGACTCGTTAGCCGGATATACCTACATCCCAGTGAACGATACTGTTCCCATTGGGACTCGAATTCAGTACCGACAACTTCGAACACCAGAACATCATCATCCAGGCCACAAAGTAACGATAGGCACCTCTTGTAACCACTTGCAGCCACTTCATACAACAAAATAATCTCATTGATTGCCTAGAATTTGATAGTCTGATGTTGTTTCCAATCCGATCATAATATCATATTCAGTAAATGTCTCATATGCACTATCATATGTATTCCTGACTATCAGCATAGTTTACCACCGAATAATTTCATTTGCATACTGGTATCCGATACTTTATCAAGTCATATTTCTGCAAGATAACAGATGGCAGTAGGATATATACAGAAGAACAGAGGTCAGGTTTCAGTTAAGCAGTTTTCATTGAATGAAACCTCTATTTATCATAGAAACACGCTAACTGCTCTGTTTGAGCCTAGGCACCTTTGTAAGCTAACAAAATAGAAAATCCGCAATTTGACAGATTACACGTGAATTTAATTGAACTAATATCCTGTCATATCAAGTATTTGTTTGTAAAAATTATATCTTATCAACCCAGTCACTCACCGATATACTCGTATCCAGTTTTTTGAAGTTACGTGACTGCCTGCGTACCAAGTCCATCCATCAGAATAGTTGTACAAAATTTTCCGTTTTCAGACAAGATGCAACACTGGACTGAAACAAGTTTACAGTATCCTAGATTCAGTTGATTATCGAAACTAAATCGTTACTTTATCATCCTGTTATGACTATGTCTTGTCACAAAACTAGATAAATCAGACAATGGAATGCACTGTTTCTCTGAGAAAATACTAATGTATTCGAAATTGATCATTTATAATACCTTGATCAATAAAAATACACATTGTTATATGATTTCTATGGTTAGGTGAAAATGAGAAATAATCTCAATAGTTCACTAACACTTGTGGTATACCGGATACAAGTTTTTTCTAAATTATTCAGTGAATATTATAGGGAATGATTAACTGTTTCTTTATGTTGCTGAATTAAATTATGTCATTATTATTACGACACAACTTCGGATTGAACTTGTGAGAAACAACTGAGTGAAATAACCGTATTTAGTACTCATTAATCATTATTCTTAGATTATAGAGTATCTTCTTTATCTCTTGCTCTGAAACAGTACTGTTCCCGTGTCCTCAAGGTGAGGTATCCTCCCGACTGCGTTTTCGTTGACAAATAATAATCTCGATTTTCAACGTAAATTTGACTCATTCTATCATTTTTGCGGCATTATGTTGAGCCGGTATAAATAATCCTTGAATGTAAGACATTGTTGACTATGTTGAGCAAGACAAAACCTCCCTCCGTATTGTGTAAATCCACTGCTTTGAAATTATTCCTCATCTTGGAGTATACTGAAGCTTCAATTAAAATTTCAGTGAGATGGCTACATTTTTCTGCCTTTAATATATTAGGTAACCTATATAGCAATGATATTACCAAGATCACCAGCTCAGTTAGCTGGTCTAAAAGTCGGTGATCGATTAATTCGTGTCAATGAGCTGGAGACAGATCAAATGCTTCTGGAGGAGTTACTGAACTACATCAGGAAGTCAGATGGGCCGTTATATTTGTATTATCAAACACGGTGAGTGCATAGCTTAGTTTCTGTTACCTTTTTCAAGTTCAAATTCATTTGGGTATTATTTTATGCAAAGGAATTTTACAGTGTTTTTCCTTGATGATAAGGGGTTCACTGGATTGTTTATTTATGAGGCTGATGGTTGAAGGTGGGACGGAAATGGAACATCATTTCCATCGACGTTACAAATACACCTTGCTGACAAGTGCCAAAAAGCACGAAACCTAGGTTCAGAGCTTTCTTCAGACTAGCTTCATCCAACTAACTTCCATCTCACTGCATCACTATAGTGTGCCTCCTAGCCTGATGGCCACAGTGCAAAAATAATGGATGGAATTCGATCATCACTTAGGACTAGACAACTTGAAGTTGGTCACCCTCCGGTAACCAACCAGCTGACTTGAATTTCCGAAATATACAAAAGAGAGGCTGACGAATTTTCAACTCGGCGCTTTTATAAGGGTAACATAGCTTTCAACATGGTCTCAACTTCATTTTACTCACAGAAAGTTTTGCTGTCTTGTTAGGAACATAAATAAACTGTGACTGCCCTTTCACAACATCAAACTAGCTCACCAGCAAGATATTTGGAATTCTTTTCAAAGCAAACTAAATACATACGTTATCATCATTTCTTCTGGAGGTATGTATGACTAAAATTAATGTTTTTGATTGTTATTTAAGACTACCCGGTTAGCTTTCGATCAGACCAATGTTTCTTTTGGTATCACAGTGAATATATTTCACCTTAATTTGTTACGGTTAAAATTTTTTTTGAAAGACTGTCAAATTCGAAATATACTGTAAGAGTGTTTTGCTATATTGAACAACTGCTTGGATAGGTACCATAGTCATCCATTTGAAGGATGTATATGTTAATGATATTTTTAATCACTGAAATAAAAGCAAAAATCTCTAAACATGCTCAGCAACTAAAACAGGCAACTGATAGTGGGATCACTGACTAGCTTGGAAACGGTGTTGAGGAAAAGTTGATTACAGTCCTTTGACTTCATAAAGATAGTCTCACAACCTAAAAATAACGTATTGACACACTTATTCAAGAATTAGAGACCCTCTGAGAAATATTGATATAAAACGGCTACTCATTAAGATTTATAAAGCAAAGTATGTAACGAAACCTCGAAACGGATCTAAATCGTCTTCGAACAAAGTACTTTCAATGAACTTCAGATCTGTTGGTGATATTCCTGCGGACACCGTACTTCAAAGTTTGTCAAAATCACTAAGTGAAGCATCCTATGCTGTAAACCTGCACATTGTGTTTTCATGTCAGCAGCTGACTAATCAGTGCGCGGAGGACAGGATGACTCACTCATCCTCATGAATGTGTATTTACAAGTCCACTTGTTCCTGCTGAGCTGAGTATGTTGGTCTAACTACGGGCTTGCCAACATTATCCAGCCTAGTTGCTGAAGAGTAAGCACGAAACAGCCTCCAGCTCAACCGCCGAACCCCTCGCAGACTGTGAAAATCTCGCTCTTCTGGAAACCTTGTTTTAGGTTCTAAAGAACGTTCAAACGAACAGTCCCAAAGGAGTGACGATTAAACACTTATATACAACTGAGGGTTTGGTGATTCACAGCTTCACACCTTAGTTGTTTATTCAAATTCCCTTTTTGATACAAGTATTTTACCAGCATGTTTTAGCATATCACATTTAGATACCATAGGGATGAGATTGGACCTACAACCCTTACATTTCTCATAGATAAACACTTCGGGCATCTCAGCTTGGTTCTGGTATATATAGGGATATCTGGTGATGATCCCTCCGCAGATTCATCTACGCAAACCTTGTTATGACTTTTACTTCCTCTGAATAGTCAAATTAGGTCGTCTTCACAGCATCAGTCGAGCGACAAGCCACTTCAACGATACCAATCTAATGACTTCACTAAACCATTCAGTTGGTAGTAGCAGTGGTCGGTGTGTATAAAGGACAGGGAGAGAGAAAGCCTATGATTTACACCTACCAGAAATTCCTCGTTTGTGAAAAATAATTCCAAGCCCCGATCCCAATCGTGACGGTGATGAAACAGTTTGCCCAACCCTTTCGGACCAGGTTTCCAGACTTACTAGCACCGACATTATAGCATGCTTGTGACTCCAGACATCTAAGTTTATCAAAGACCTGTTATTGCTCAATTTTGCGCGGTTTAAGCGTACTGCCTGTCCCTTTAAGAAGTAGAACCTGGAACTGTACCCGCCGGAAAACGACCACACCACTCCATAAAGAAGCAGTAGGCGCCCCATCATGAACAAACAAGGAGAGCCAGTTTTCTACCTAGCAGGTTCATTATCGGAACTAACCAGACAAAGCGTTCCATCAACTAAGAACGGCCATGCATGTAAACACTCTTCAGGGTGGTAATAAACAGATTCTCTTCACCTCTGTCATGTTTTATTTTTGTACTTTATTTATTTGCCTGTTTATTTTTATTAGATACTAAATCTTGCTGTGAAATGCATTTTTAAAAGAACTATTAAGATCATAGCTTGTGTTATGTTATATTACTTCATTTTGTCCAAAAATCCATCAATTATGTTTGATATTTGATCGAAAAATTGTCTAGGATCTTCTCTCATTTACAAATGTATAGCTGCGAAAACGAGAATGCAATGTGTAAGTTAAGACAAATTCGACACAGTTTTCTGATATGCTTCTACTAGTGGTAAAACCGATGTTGGCCGACCTTAATATTAGATTAGTTTCTTTGATATAGCCTGCAGTGGCATAGTATTGTTTACCAGACGATTGTTCCAGCAGTCTGTTGCTCAAAACCATATGCCTTGATGTGATTATGAGCAGCAAATTGCTATGGAACAATCATTTAGTTAATAATACCCTGCCAGTGTATGACATGCCACATAGACGAGTCGTAAATTGAATTAGACTTCTTCACGATGCCTCAGTTCTAAACTCACATTGATGTTGTTCTATGTTAGAAAGTACCCCTATCTTGAGATACAATATGAAATACTTTAAAGTTGGAAAGGTGTTTAGTTAAATAAACCATGGGTCATAATGATAATAACTAGCTTCTGTTTACAGTTTTAAAGTTTTTAGCGAAAATAGAACTTATCCGTAAGATAATCAGTTTTCATGTGTACTTCATCATTCAGCACGTTTTCGCAAAAATTTTTCAACATTTACGTCCATACTCAACTCAGTATGCATTTCCGATGTGAACTCCAGTGGTACAACAGTTTGTTTTATGCAGAATAGCTGAACCCTGCGTCTGGACAAACGTACATGTGCCTGAAGGATAAATGGTTGTGATCATAACGGTGACTTGGTCGAAAAGTGATCAGAACTCTTGACATAGATCGAAATATTTTATTATAAAGTTAGCGAAGATAAAATTACAGAGAGGAATGAAGACCAGTTTACGAATGGAACTTTGAGAGGTCTCTGGAAGAACAAGGCTAATTTAGAAGTAGTAAATATTCATACTAAAGTCTAATCAGCTTTAACCATTGACGTGCACAAATAGGAAGAGCGATTTTTCTATGAATCCCTATGTGCAGTCATTTGTGTAACAATGCGCAGTACAAACTTTTGAGTAGTTGCTGAAAAAAGAGGCGACATACATAGAAACTGATGATCACGGTGGGCAAAAGATGTGAATCTTTAAAGGTTAAAAACTCTGATAGTGAAAAATTAACTTCAGTAGTTATAAAAACTAAAGCGAAGACTGAAATTAACGGTAAAGAGGTAATAAACGTGACAGTAAAACAGAACAGTGAGAAAGAATTAATTGTCACTTCAGTCATTTAATCTGAAAGTAAACTGTGGGACACAGAGGTTAATGCGGAGCTAAGCAAATCGAGTCAAATTCAATTCAAACGTTTGTAGGATTCGCTTTATTGATTTCAGCTTGGTATTCCTCGTGAGCGGATTCTGCATCTACTGCTCAGTGGTGACTTGCTTTGAAAGGTAGTTCCTAAAGTTCCAATGAAAAGTCGTGACCTGTGGGGGTAATCAAGTCGGAGGTGAGCGCAGTTGCTAAATGGCGTCACTGGATGGAGATCGTGCTATATCGCTAACTGATAGGAGGAGGAAGCATGGATTGTTGGATTCCGACCTAGTGGGCCAGTGGTAACGTGATGGCCATGGAACATTATGGTCCAGGCTTCGACGCTTAGTGGGGTCACGAGTGATTTGTAACCAGTCAGATAGTCTACATTTCTCAACTTCCATCATACCAGTAGTTATCGAGTTTACGAACTAAAGCTAAGTTTCTCTCGAATGGTCGGTAGGTTCTTTTCAAAGTAACCGTAATCAAGGTAGGAGTACATAGTGCAGTAGCTGTTAGCTTGGCTAAACATTTATAGGTTAGTGAGTCAGCATGAGAAGTACAGAAAAAATACACAAATCCGGCTGTGCAAATCCAGTTGGTTTGTCAGTATGGTTTAGCAATTATAGCTAAATGCACAATATTTCATCAAACTTAGAGTACATAAATCAGCCAGGGGTATAGTAAGCAAAGAATTGCACCATCTGAAGTTGGCACTGTCAAAAAGAGCATGAACTGCCTACCAGGCTTTACCGCCTATTGTCTATCTTAAATGGTTCTAAATCAAACAGCTCAGGAACAACTTTTGAATCAACAAATTGCCTTCACAAACTAAAACGATTTTTTAATTGTAAAAATAGCAGCCGTCAGACAAACTTGATCGACTTTGGATTTGTTATCCCTGTATGGTTAAATTTACTATGATGAGAAAATGTTTATATTCTGATATTTCATCCTACTGACTTTTGTGTAAGATTCAACTTTCCTGGACATAACTTTCAACAGTCATTGATATTACCTATTAAGTGCAGTCTGAGTAAGAAAAATACGGTAAATGTATTCTTCTTGAGGGTTTGTAGAAGTATATTTCACTGAGTTTAACGAAAAAAGGGTGATTGTCCCACTATGATTTTCTTCGGTAGTCAACTGATGTTACTTAATTTCGATGCGCAGTTTAGAAATAAAGACTGCGATAGCCAAAAGCAACGCTAATTAAATTCCTCAAGCTCGAAGATCTACAAGAGAAAACTAAGAAGTTGTCAGAAGAGGCAAGGCGAGGCAGCAAAGATGGGACTTCCTTCAGGTAAACATAGAGAAGACAGAGGTGATGAAGATACCCAACCAACAACAACAAGCACCAATCACCACCAACGGGGGAAACCTAAAGGAAGTAGTCTCTTTCACCTACCTGCCTACCTACCTACCTACCTACCTACCTACCTACCTACCTACCTACCTACCCACCCACCTACCTACCTACCTACCTACCTACCTACCCAGATAGGATCGTTTCAACTACAGGCGGCAGCACAGATGAGGACGTCAAAGCCGGGATCGGAAATACAGCAAGACAGGCCTTCATCAGTCTGAAACCAGTGTGGAGATCTACTGTACTCCACTCAGCATATAGCGTGAACAAGATCCGGATTTTCAAAACTAATCCAGTCAAGTCAGTGCTGCTTTGTGGTTCATAAACTTGGCGTGCTACGAGAAGCATTTCCAACAGACTTCAGACACACATCATGAACAGCTGCCACCTACGCTCACTCGATACTGACACTGAATATCAGATGGCCAGAATAATAAGAATGAGCAACAAGGAACTCTGGCTGGTAACGAACCAACCGACCAAGAACCTGTCGTTCAACAAATATACAGAAGAGAGTGGAGATGGATTGGATTGGGCATGGACTGGAAAAACCATTCGGGGA